AATCTATAACGCGTTTGGACAATCATGAGGGTCAATGTTATATTCTATAGCGTGGTTCTACAAACATTTGCATGATTCGAATGAACGATATTTGATACACATATTAACACGTTATTTGACACGTTATTGATATAACTCTTGGCGTATATTAGAGTATCTTTTCTGTTAATGAACAGCAAAAGGTGTATTATTTTCAAATTTCATTCTACACCTTTTGCTGTTCATTAACAGAAAAGATACTCTAATATAAGCCAAGAGTTATATCAATAACGTGAATATGTTTTCATTAACTCTACAATACACTTCATTAGTGTGGATTTAGCTTTCAATTACAATATTTGATTATTGTTGATATTCAGTATATTTAACTGACAAACAAAAGCTCGTTCAGGCATTGTGAGCGGGAACCGTATTGTCATTTTCATTGAAATAAATTTCGATAACACCAATCGACAGACAATTGCATTTATTGACAACCATTCACAAAGAACAAAAAAAAATCATTAGCGAAATTATCATAAACATTGACAATCTATTGAGCAAATAAAAAAACATTATTATGAATGTAACGCTGATTCTATTATGTGGTTTGACATGAATCGTACGTCTTGAATAGACGATTAGAGAAAAAATTCAATCAATGGTGTAATATCCAGATTACTTCCGGCTGTCACGCCATGTGTCACATGACACGTACATGTAATTTAATCGTGTGTGTAGTTAGTTGTGTGAGGAATAAAGCACGAGGACGAATGACATCAAAGTCTCTATTTATTGTGGATTCTGCGGACACAACATTGGCGACGAGTGAAAAAAACAAGCCAGAAAAGTCGATTGAAAAAGGTCCTCAAAGCTTAGTGAAAAGGAAAGTCGAACAGGGCCAAATAAACACAAGAAATGAAGAGAAATGCCGCCGCCAGAACCAGAAGCGAGCGCCGCTCAGGCAGCTCAAGCACAACAAGTAACAGTTATTACAGAAACTAGAAACCTCAAAACACCTCCATTTACACCAGGAGAGGACCAGATTACAAAAGGAAAACGCTGGGAGGAATGGCTAGAAGAAATTGAACGAGAATTCAGTTATTTCAAGATAAATGATCCGACTGATCTGAAAGATGCCTTGATTATTTATGGAGGGAAAGAAATCGCTAGATGAGAGAAAAGTTTGCAAAATTCTAGCGCAGGAGAGATGAATGAATACGAGAAGTTGAAATCGAAATGAAATGAGCATTTTCTACCCAAACGGAATAAACACCATGCTAGATATAAATTCCTTGTCATGAAACCTGAAGCTAGTGAGACGACATTAGCATATGCCGCGAGGCTGAGAGAACGGGCGATGGAATGTGAGTTTGGCGACAATTTAGATGAGCGAATTTTAGAACATTTAATTCAAACAAGCGAGAGCCGCACACTGATTCAAAAAACCATAAGCAAAAAGTGGAATCTAGATCAACTCCTAGCAGAAGCAAGTCAAATGGAAGATACTCACACCATGATAAAATATATGAAGGAAACTTCAAAGGAAATTGCGAAAATCACAAAGCACCACAGGTAACCCACAAAGTCCAAAGAATTACCGTGCAGACAGAGGCGCGAACAGTGCGATAGATGCGGACAACAAAAGCACGTTAAACCGCAAAACTGCCCTGCCCGAGGCAAAAATTGCATGAAATGTCATAAGAGAGGCCATTATGCAATAGTTTGCAAAACAAAACCGTTTACAAGACCTCAAGAGTACAAGTGTAAAACGGAGAACCCAAGAAAAAAACCAGTGAAAAAAACCACTACCGAAAAGCAACAAGACTCGACCAGCTAAAACGACGAATTCTTCCAACACCTCAAGCAACAAAAAAGTGTCGAGTGGAATCAACAGGCCAAGAAAATAACGGTGAGAATTGACGACGTTGATGTCGGAGTTGAACCTGGCAGTGGCGCGGATGTCAACATTATGGATGAGCATCAGTTCGAAGCGCTGACCCATGGGTCCAAGGAACCGCAGAAACAGCTGCGCGAAAGCAAGGTCAAGCTAAATGCACTGCAGTACAGATTACCTGTAAAAGGGGAGTTCAACGCCATCGTGAGAAACAAAACCAGAGGAGTACACACAACTTTCATCGTCGTTCGAGGACGGATTAATTCAGCACCGTTGATCGGAAGAGCCACTCTTACGGAACTTGGCATGTTAAGGATTGACCCAGAAGGCACCCTAGCTGAAGCAAACAGCTTAGGAACGCAACAGGACTCACAGATCCGAAGGATCGCAGATAAGAACAAACAGCAGCCACAGACGGACATCGACGAGATTGTTACCAGACACAGCAAGGTATTTGAAGGTATCGGAAGGATACGAGACAACAAGAGAAACGAGGAACTGTATGTTAACTTCAGCATGAAACCAGAGGCAGTACCTGTAGCCCAGAAACCAAGGCCGGTCGCCTACCATCTTAAAGAGCCGTTGAGAAAATGGCTTGAACAAGGTATTGAGGAAGACATCTTCGAAAGAGTACCACCTGGAGAACCAGTCACATGGTGCTCACCCCTAGTGGTTCAGCCTAAACCCAAGTTCAAGGACACGCCAAGGGAAAAATTAGAGCCCAACATGATCAGAGCAAGCGTGGATCTTAGAGTACTAAATGAATGCATGAACAGGAACAGTATAACCCAGGGACCGATCGTCGAAGATTTTACCTACAAGTTTCACGACTGCAAGATCTTTTCTAAGATGGACCTGAGACAAGGCTACGACCAGTTACAGTTACACCCAGACTCAAGAGCTATAGCAACATTCAGTACCCCATGGGAGCCAAACGACTCGTGTTTGGAGGCAAGTCATCACAAGATCTATTCGATGAGACAATATACAGAGTATTCGGCGATATACTAAGATGCCTAAGCCAGCACGACGACATACTTATCGGAGGGCGCAACCTAGAGAAACACAACCAGACCTTGGAGCAAGTGCTACAAAGAGCAGCAGATTTTGGAGTCACCTTCAACCGCGACAAGTGCCAGTTCGGCGTGGAAGAAATATAATTCTACGGATATAGACTCACAAAAGACGGACTGAAGCCAACCCCAGACAAGGTTCGGGCCGTGAAAGAGTGCAAGCAACCGAAATCCAAGGAAGAAGTGAGAAGCTTCTTAGGAATGCTCCGGTATCTCTCGAAGCTCATACCGAGGTATTCGACACTAACAGCACCGCTAAGAGAGCTAACGCACAGTAACACACAGTTCAGATGGGCAGCAAAAGAAGAAGCCGCCTTCATCAAGCTGAAAGAGAGCATTGCCAGTGAGAATACAGTAGCATACTTCGACCCAAGAAGGTCAATCACTGTAGCAAGCTTCCATGAGGGACTATCAGCGGGACTCTTTCAGGAGACACCCAAGGGACTGCAACCCGTACACTTTATCAGCAGAACCATGACGGAACCAGAGAAAAGGTACAGTCAAACCGAAAAGGACGTTTTAGCCATCGCCTGGGCTAAAGAAAGATTCCGGATGTATCTTATCGGGGCACCAAGGTTCAGAATCATTACAGCCCACAAGCCCCTGTTACCTATGTTCAACAAAGCAACGGCCAAAATGCCACCACGGATCGAGAAATGGATCATGGGCATGCAGGATGTGCACTTTGAACCCATCTACCAGCCAGGGAAAGATGAGAAGGATCCACTAGACTTCTTGTCAAGACATCCATTACCGGAGACTGACAACGAAGAGGTAGGAGCAGTAGTCAAACAAGTCACTGAAGTTGAGCACGCCGTTATTCTCGACAAGATACGACAAGAAACAGCGAAAGACCCACAATTACAGAAACTACGTGACCGAATGCTAACGGAGGATTGGGAACACTACCGGAGAGACGCAGATATCAGTCCATTTTATCAAATAAGGCAGGAACTGTACGAAGTCGATGGAGTTATTCTTAGAGACAATAAGATCGTTGTGCTAGCAAGCGTTCAAAGAAAAGTGGTAAAAACAGCACACAAACTTGGACACCTAGGCGTTACAAAAACCAAGCAGATGTTGAGGGAGAAATACTGGTTTCCAACCATGAACAATCTAATAGAACAAATGATCGGACAGTGTTTCGAATGCCAAATRACCGTCAAGGAGAGGACACAAGAACCAGTCAAACCGTCTACAATTCCGGACAGACCGTGGCAAGTCGTGTCTGTAGATTTCGGGGGACCATACCCAGACGGTCATTATAACCTAGACAAGAGGACTAGGTACCCTGAAGTAGAAAGAGTCTACTCTACCGCATACAAGCTAACGATGCAGAAGCTGAAGAAGATTTTTGCTCCTTACGAACACCGGAGCGCTTGGAGAGCGACAACGGACCACCCTTTAATTTAGCAGAATTCGAGAGATTCGCTAAAGAAGAGGGATTGCATCACCACCGAGTGACACCACAACACGCAAGAGCCAACCGAGAAGCGGAAAGTTTTATGAAGATGTTAAACAAAACGGAACAGATCGCACACT